TAGATTTAGATCCCTCGATATAAACTTCAGCCCAATCAACTATTTTACAGTGAGTGTCGGACATCAGGACAGGATGGACAAATGCAGTTCTTAGTGGAATTTAACGTTGCTGCCATCAGGCTTTCAGTGGAATCCATCAGTTGTGTATCAGCCACAATGGATCACAGGATCAGTGGTTGCCAGAAAATCCTTATTTCCTGTTGTTTGCTTCGCAGGGAACAGTTTGTAACGATGCATTGATAATCTGTTGTTGTGGCCCATGTGAGGTCTGCCGTATGACCAGAGAGGTGCGCAAACACGTTCAATAGTACAGGTAAGAGAGGCCATCTCCCCATGCAAAGACACTGCACTGACCAAACAGGAGAGGTTGATAGCGACACTTTGTTATATCATAGAGAACGAGTCTTGTAGCTCAGTGGTTAGAGCACTTGCCTTGTAAGCAAGAGGACCTGGGTTTGATTTCTGGGTTAGACGAAACGTTTGGCAAGTTTTCTTACTCCACCCGCCTGTTTACCTAACAGTAAGTAGGAACCCGGTTGTTAATTGATTGACGGATCGCTTTTCTGGGGTAGTAATTCCTTCATAAAAAATAATAATAATTTGGTCACTCAATCCACCACTGTTTATGGGTCACTGCTGTTCGCAATTGGCTGTTGCGTTTTGCCGGGGAAAAAAGTATATTCTGTGAAACGCTTTAATAGGTCTCGAAGACCTGATAAGGCAGTATATCAAATGCAAAGATTATTATTATTAAGGAAAGGACGATGTTCTCTTCTATACTAATAAAGATGAAATGTCTGTCTGTCTGTCCACCAATAACGCAATAACCGATTGATGTAGAGATGTGATGTACACCTCATTTGAAAGATCTTTCAAGGTGGAGTGTCATGGGCATATTTTTCGGGGATCTCCTATCGTTGATGAGCTATGACCTAAACAAGCTTATCACACATGTATGGACCAACAAGGAGTTCTCACAACATGAATCCTCCCACAGGAGTCCTCCCAATAGCATATTTTCTTAATCTTATAAAGATGCCTAAGAAGTGAAGATCAAGACTTGCAAGGACAAATAAAAATGCCAGACAAAAGCATATTAAATGGTTTGTGAGTGGTATCACTGAAATTTACATTCCACATTGAATTCTTTGGTTGCAAGCTGAGCTGCAATGGGTACAGCTAGTATCTAATAATAATAATTATCCTTACATTTGACATAAAGCCTGATCATGTCATATATTTTGTAGGTTAAACATGGCAGCACTTTTTTGTTTGGGATAGAATCAGAGATTACAGAGAAAGACAAAACACAAAATACTGCAGATGCTGGAAATCTGAAACAAAAACAGAAGTCGCTGGGAACACTCAGCATCTATGGAGAAAGGAAAGTGAGTCAATGTTTCGGGGCCACGACCCTTCGTCAAAACATTGACTCATTTTCCTTTCTCCATAGATACTGCCTGACCTGCTGAGTGTTCCCAGTGACTTCTGTTCTTGTTTAGAGAAAGATAGAGACTGTGATAAGCAAATACTCTGGAATACTATAGTTTCTGCATTACTGGGGTGGAGATGAAGAGGAGCAAACACAATGCTTGGAGGCAAGCGGAGTAAGGTTTAAAGAAAGAATGATAGAATGTAGAGGGGTTGAATGTTCTGCTTAATTCTCTTTTCCAGGTGCGCTGGGCTACTTGTTCAGTGGGTTAAGTTATTGACCTTTTGGGGTCCATGTTTTACAGAAAGATCAGAGGTTTACGTGAAGAAGGCCGTTCGCTCCATTCAATATCATCCTTTCACATTCCCAATCCTACAGATTTCCTGTTGTATCACCCAGCTATTTCTTAAATGGATGCACCACCTTTATATCTAGCACGGTTCCTAGGCCCCTGTTCCAGATGTTAATCAACTCCTGTGTAAAGCAATACTTTGTGATGTCTGTCCTAAATGTAAAGTCTTTCTTTTGATCCTATTAAATGTTGTGCTTGGTTTTGTGTTGGATAGCCTGGTTTCTGTTGGAGTTCATGTTGTATTTAGTTGGGTCTGGTTCCTATTGAAGTCTGGAGTTAGTGTTGATATGTTCTCATTGCTGGTAATTTTGTGGATAGGTGACCTTTTGGACAATGTTCTATTGATTCTCATTTTACCTGGTTGAATTGAGTCATTCCACCTATGCCAAGGACTATTGTTGATTTTTATTTTGGTCACCCGGGTGTCTGACACATGGGTAAACCTATCACCTTGGTTAAGAGTATCCAAACCAAACTAAGAATTGCATACATCCCACCTACATATGGAAATTCCAGAGACAGATTATTGGAATGGAATGCACACTATTCTCTCTCCCTGAAGGGACATATCCTGCTTACCTAATTTCGGAAAGTATTAGGCACAGGATGGCACGGGCCAAGGCTTGGGGACCTGAGAGTATATGTTGGGGCAACTGCTGGATTTTAACCAGCTAAAACCGCATAGCTTGCGATTGATATCACCGTTTGGCAAGCTTTCCTGTTGCTTGTCCAGCTAGGACCACTCTATGCGTTAAGCTTTGGCTTGCAGGATAACATTATGGATAAGATTAGTCACCATTTTATTTTGTGTGGGTTTAATTTCAGCGCAGATTCTCTCCTCTCCAAACTCCAAACCAGGCTCACAGTTCAGACTTACTGCGCTGTTATCCAGTATCAAACAAATGAGATGTTTTTCTTATCAGTTGTTGCTCTGTTACCTGAGTCAGTGGAAGGATGAATGTCAGTGAATTGGTGATAGCAGGAAATGCAGATCCGAGCCCTTGTGATTGCCTGATTGTGTTTCTGCTTGCCTCTGTCGTACACTGGGCAGCTTACAATACAAATTTACATTTGTATACTTGTATATTTGTATACTTTCCAAGTTGGGAGGATGTCCCAAAAGCGCATATCAATAGTAGGTTGGTTTGCAGAATAGGTTCATGCTCGTTTTTGTTTTTTGTTTCAGATAGTGATGAAGCTTCTGCTGTAATTGTCCTGTACTTTGCCTGGAATAGTCTTCCACATTAACCCTTTGACCAAAGCAGACTTCTGCAGTTAGTTTATGCCTACAGACCATCGTTTCACACCTGCCTGTTACTGTATGAGTCAGAAATCTCATTATCGAGGGGTAACACAACGGAAATGCGAGAAAATGTTGTTCAACATGTAATTACAACAAGCAGCAATGCTCATAATGGCTTCATTATCATCAGCCCAAGACGGACCCGACCAGCGGCAGGACTGCAGACTTGTGTGTTTATGTGCGAGGTGGTGGGAGGGGGTTGATGTACAAAGGTTTTTTTATTGTGAATGGCCTTTGACATGTTTAAACATCCTAAACACGGAAGTAGGAGTTCAGTAAAATCAAAACTGGAGGTGAAGCAGTGAGTGGACACTTTATTTCCTTCTATAATAAGCTGATCAGCCTGTTTGCATCTTTAAATATTATTTTTTAAAAATCATTTGAGTATTTTGCAAAATTTACATGATATCTGGTACCATCGCGAGGCAAGTTATCTTCACAATAAACACTCAGCCGTGCAGCACAATCAAGTCCATTCGTTGTAAACAACAACAACAGGATTGCATTTATAGAGCGCCTTTCACGTCGGGAGGACGTCCCAAGGCGCTGGACAGTTGGGTCAGGACCCGAGCAGTGGGGAAATGGTCAGGGTGAGGGGAGGGAAGGGAGGGAGCGAGGAGGGGGGAAATGGTCAGGGTGAGGGGAGGGAAGGGAGGGAGCGAGGAGGGGGTAGAGAGTCGAGAGCGGAGCTGAAGGCTGAAGGTCAAAGAGAAAGGTCTTGAGACCGGCCTTGAAGGAGCAAAGGGAGGAAGCGGCGAAGGCACTGGGGATGGAGTTCCAGAGCCTGGGGGCTGAGAGGCTGAAGGCCCGACCACCGATGGTAGGGCGGTTGGGGCGGGGGGTGTGGAGCAGACCAGAGCCAGAGGAACGGAGGGTACGGGCAGGTAGGTAGGGGGACAGTAGGTCGGAGAGGTAGGAGGGAGCGAGGCCGTGAATGGCCTTGTAGGTGAGGATCTTGAATTCGATCCTCTGGGGGATGGGGAGCCAGTGGAGGCGAGCGAGGGCGAGGGCGAGGGCGGGAGTGAAGGTGAGGGTGAGGGGGAGGGGGAGGGTGGGAGTGATGTGGTCGCGGTGTCTGGTGTGGGACAGTACACGAGCTGCAGAGTTCTGGATGACCTGCAGTGTGGAGGGAGGTGGCGGGAAGGCCGGCGAGGAGAGAGTTCCCATAGTCCGGCCTTGAGGTGATAAAGGTGTGGACCAGAGTTTCAGCCGCGTGAGGGGTGAGGGAGTGCCGTAGTCTGGCGATGTTCCGGAGGTGGTGGAAGGCGGTGCCAGTTGTGGCGCAGATATGGGGAAGAAAGCTGTCAACCCCTCCTCCCCCCACACACAGCCCTGTCACTCCGCACTACAATACAGTACAAAATTACACTTGTACAGCGCCTTTCATGTCGGGAGGACGTCCCCATAAGCTTCACAGTCAGGGATTTGGGGGGGGGGGGGGTAATGGAGGGCGGAGGACAGGGAGGACAGGGAGGGTAGGAGGGACATACAGGACACCCACTCCGGTGTGAACCCGCCCACTCTGGTCACATCGAGGCCGGTCACAGCTCTGGCGCCCCCCGGCGGCTGCCTGAATATCTGTCGGCAGAGAAAAAAAATAACCCCAACGAACGGCGCCTTTAATGCTCCCTGACAGCTGATTGGCGGTGTCCAGGCAACGGCCGCCTCACAGCCGGACCCCAGGCCTCCGGCCAGACCCCCACCCCCGGCCCCCACCCCAGGCCTCCGGCCAGACCCCGGCCCCGGCCCCGGCCTGACCCCCACCCCAGGCCCCCACCCTCGGCCCCGGCCTGACCCCCACCCCAGGCCTCCGGCCAGGCCCCGGCCCCCACCCCCGGCCTGACCCCCACCCCCGGCCCCGGCCAGGCCCCGGCCTGACCCCGGCCCCGGCCCCAGGCACAGCCCGGGCCGCCATGTCGCTCCGGACGCTGCCGTTGCTGTTCGTGAACCTGGGCGGAGAGATGCTGTACATCCTGGACCAGCGGCTCCGCGCCCAAAACATCCCGGGAGACAAGGCCCGGAAAGGTACCGACCCCCCCCCAGGCCCTCCCCCCAACTCACCCCCAGGGTCTGGTGGGGGAGGAGGTGTGAGTTGGGGGGTACATGACCCTGGGGGGAGGGGGTGTAAGTTGGGGGGTACATGACCCTGGGGGGAGGGGGTGTGAGTTGGGGGTACATGACCCTGGGGGGAGGGGGTGTGAGTTGGGGGGTACATGACCCTGGGGGGAGGGGGTGTGAGTTGGGGGTACATGACCCTGGGGGGAGGGGGTGTGAGTTGAGTTGGGGGGTACATGACCCTGGGGGGAGGGGGTGTGAGTTGGGGGGTACATGACCCTGGGGGGAGGGGGTGTAAGTTGGGGGGTACATGACCCTGGGGGGAGGGGAGTGGGGGTCTCCATCCTCTCTAATCAGATAGAGGGGAATTCTTTGTAAACTGGTGACCTGTTTGGGTTCTGCCTCAGGTTTTGAATTGCATTGTCGGTGGCGCTGCCTTTGGGACGAGACATTAACCTGAGCTCCCGTCGGCCTGACCGTGGCCGAGCGGTCAGTCTCCTGTTGGCATTACTCAAAACCAGAAGGGAAGTCACCCCTTTTTTGGCCCAACAATCCCCCCCAGATTAAAAACTGGTCCCTTGCTCCGTGGGTGGGACATCGCTGTGTGTAAATTGGCTGCTATGTTTGCTGTACACAAAAATACCCACAGTCACTACACCTTACAGTGTGTCCGTCCTGTGAAGCATTAGGAGGTTTCTCGGTTATGTGATGACGTGCTGTATCAAGTTCAAGGATTGTTCATTATTTGATGTGCCCAAGCGCCAAAGCTGACACTGAGCAGATATGGAGCAAATAAGGTAGGAACCGGATTCTGTGCACAAGTGGGAATGGCCTGAGCTTTGGGAGTTCCAGCGATCCTGACCCTGGGCGCTGTCCTGACTTAGATGCTGTGAGGAGATTGGCTGAAGACACTTGTGACTGGAGTAATGTGTGTGCAGCGCAATTTTTTAACTCGAATAGTCGTGGACGGCAGTGATTAGTTTTCGTTGGCAGTTTGTTGACTGTGCCTTCGGCCATCGTTCCCTCCTCCCGAACCCAGTTCAGGTGCAAACCCTCGATTGTCCAGCGCCTTGGGGCGTCCTCCCCATGTGAAATGCGCAATATGCAATTTGATGTCGTTGTTGTTGTTGAGTAGATAAGGTACAATAGCTTCTTGATGTTCACTCACTTTCTTCTTCATTATTGCCAGGAGCCATCTAATTTGCAATAGATTGATCCGTTTATTACTTCTGTTTGGATTAGTTCAGACATCTTAGTGTCCTGGATTTGGATCGTTAATCTAATGTCATCCTGCTGCTGATTAATGCTGATACACATTTGCTTGGAATTTGAGCGCTCATATATTCTCTCAGATTAGACAGGAAAATGAGAAGAAGCAATAGTTATTTAAGATTTGTCTGGAAATTGATGCAAAAAGTTATACAAGTTATCAAATTCAAATGTCATGAGTTTACTCAATTGAACTGTTAATGTAATGTTGCCTTTCGGAGTTGATGCTTCCTCGGTAAGTCAGTGTACACCATCTTGCAATTTGCTTAATACCCAACTGTGTTTAATCCCCATAAGCATTGCTAAAACCTCCTTATGCAGACCCATAAACCCTCCCCACCAATGCTGCTTTTGGCTATTACACCAGCCTCAAAGGCAACTGTCCATTGGTCCAACGACTTCTCCAGTCTAGACTGTGACCTGGATCTTCAAATTCCCCGCAGTCCAATATCCAGCCTTTCCCTCCATTTCTGATTACCTTATGTTCTGGCCTCAACCAACCAGGTAGTTCCAGCCCTTCCACGGAATCCAGCTCTTCGTGAGCTCCTCTGAAATCTGAGCCCTGCTCCGTCCCACTTTGCTTTCAAAGCCCATTTAAAATCTATCTCTTTGATTGTGCTTTCAGCCTCTTACCCTATTCCTCCCACACCCCCAACCTCCCTCCCAACTCAGGCTCCCACTCCATCTATATAAAGCACTTTGACTCTTTGACACATTCTCCCTTTGTGAAAGACACTATGAAAGTGCAATTTGTTATAACGCTGACGTTTTTCGATCTAAAGAGCACTGGCTACTTACACCTTTCCCTCGCCCTGGCTCTGCACACTCAGTATCCCTATCCTGTGTCTCAGCCTGACTCAGTTGTCACTTGCTTCTGAGTCAGAAGATTGCAGGTTCAAACCCCATTTTGGGACATGGAATTCGAATGATCTATGCTGACAACCCAACAGTCCTGGGGGTCTGCTGCAGTATAGTAGGTGCCAACCCCCAGGTGAGAATTTAAACCAAGGTCCCACCTGGCTATTTGTGGAACATAATACACACACTCGCACCACTTTACAATATATTCTGTGAAGCACTTTTGAGATGTCTCAATGACATGATAAGGCGCTATATCAAATGCAAGGATTATTATTGTTATCCTCGCTGAACAATGTCTGAGCAGATTGACTTTGATATTTTTCCATACTTTCAATTGCCTCCATGCTCTTGTGCCTCTATTTATGTAATTTCTTCCAGTCTACTCCACTGCCTGGTACCTGCCACCCACTTAGTGAGGGTTCACACCTGTACTTGTCAGATGTCTAAAAACCAGACTTTCCTCTTTGTGTTGGGATGGGGTGTGGGGGAGTGATCTACATAACTTTCCCTTGTAGTCGCATCAACTCATTGGAGATGATGTAATTCCAAGGTGATGTACCTGGCAATGGAATAGAGACAGTCCTCTATGATGGTTCTGATACCTGAGTTGGGCAATTTACATATCTCTGTGTTACTGTTAATGATGGAATAACCAACCTGGATGATTGGAAGAATTTAGAGGAGCCTAATTGCTGATCGACTGAGTGGTATTGTCGTAACTCAGCTGGGAAGGAGCACATCGACCGATTCTTTAATAGAAATGTGAATGAGGGGCACAGATTTAGAGGATCTGGAGAGATGTCCACACTGGACATTGCTCTCACTCAACTGCAGCTGGTTATGCAACAGCGCAGGTAATGTGCATGCACCTCCCAGTTCGGGATGATGTGATGCTTAGAGATCCACAGAGAGTACACAACACATGCAAGATAGGTTACAAAATCTAACCCACGATGGTTTTTTTTATTAAAAAAAAGTCACCACTTTCTTTTCTTGTGCATCTTTGTAGATGATTGGACAGATGCAGATCGAAAGCGAGGTATAGTATATTGTTGCATTTTGCTGCATAGGTGCATTAAATAGTCCCCCGTTGCTCAACCTTACCAGTCTAGTCACAATGGGCACAGCACGCTGCAGGAAGAGATCGCTCTCAGTCCTGAATATTCTTTCTCCCTTTGCAGTTTGTTCCTTGGACAGGGCTGGGAGTTAACTAAACAGCACCTCGTTTTTTGTTTGGCTTTGCAAGGCTTCAGAAGCAGGATAGAGCAATGCACTAGTCTCGCTTGGGGAGCTGTTGTTGAACAGGGGAATGAATGTGTGGCCTGTCCTTAAAGGCCCAATGCATTTCAATGTGCTCTACTGGTCTCAGAGGCACAACATTAAACTCATCATATTGGAACGTCTCTTTGAGATGTCTCAAAATGCTTCACAGAACATACTATAAAGTGAAATGGCTGTATATTTTGTGGGTGAAGCTTGGCAGCCAATTGTGCACAGCAGCGTCCCACAAACAGTCGTGGATTGAGTGACCAATTATTTTTATTATTTTATTTATTTTGAAGGGATTATTACCCCCTGGAAAAGTGATCCGCCAAGCGACTAACAACCAGGTTCCTACTTACTGCTAGGTAAACAGAGGTGTGCTTAAGGATGAACTTAAATGGTTTGTGTACTATTCTGGTGTCAGAAAAATGTATCTTAATTATAGGCTTAAGAGCATCCAAACCAGATCTAGAGTTCCACATGTGTGTGTATGGGAATTTCCCATCTTCAGGTCACGCCTGAAGACCTTCCTATTCGACCGTGTCTACAGTCACCTCCAGAAGCCACAGTGCGGCGTCGTGCTCCATCACTGTCAAGTGCTCTGGGACGCTACCCTGCATGAGGAGCGCTATATAAATTCAAATTGTTGTTGTTGTGTACTCTTCTTTTGGAGGGACACACTATACCTGTCTAATTCTGAAACGTTTTAGGCGCAGGTTGACCTGAAGATGGGAAAGAGCCAAGGATCGAGGACCCCAGAGTGTGCGTTGGGATACCGTTAGAGTTTAACCAGCTAAAACTGCATAGCGTGCCATTGCTAGCATTGCCTGGCAAGCTTTCCCGCTGCTTGTCCAACCAGGACCACCATTAGGGCTTCGCCTTGCAGAGTCGGCAGGAGCTGAGCAAGAGTAATCCATGCCCTCCAAATCGTGCTGATGAGCCAGGCTGGCTGGTCTGTCATCAGCAGTCAATTGAAGCACCGTTACCTGGGGGTTGAATCAAAGCCCATCGTAAGATCAGACGAGAAGTGGAGCTGAAGAAGATCCTTTGGTCCATTTTGATCTCATCTTTTCAGAATACTAACACTTCCCATCATAGAATCAAGCTTTCTTTAAAAATGGGTTTGGTGCCCTGGTCTCTAGCTTCATACCGTTCCCACGTTAATTACTGTCTGTGTAGACAAGTACTTCCTAGTGCTGAAATTGCCCTTCACAGCCTTCTCTCTTCCTGTTCCACTGCCTTAATGTGCTGTTCTGGGTTTACTTTCTCAATCAGATTCAGTATCTTATATAAGGTCTCTCCAAGGTGTCCCTTTTCAAGGCTGAAATACTCTAACTTCTCTTGTTCCTTGTAGTTTGAGACTGCATTATTGCTGTTAAACGTTGTCTCTAGGGCTTGGGAAGCCCCCTTATACCATATTATCAAGAAAAATGAACAGTAGTCCAAGATAGCCACAGAGTTTGAGTATGATTTCTGGGGATCTGAGCTCAACTGATATGGCACTAGCTTAGCATGCTGTTTGCCTTCTTTATTGCTGTCTCATTCTATTTGGCCACAATGAGTGACTGGTCAACTAACACTGCTTTTCCAATTTCAAATTCTCCATTTGCAAGTTCTGTCCCATCTATTTACCTCCATGGTTTATTTTCTATATGCAATACATTGCACTCCTCTCTATTGATATCTGTCAGGCACATACCCTGTTGATCTTTGTTTGTAAGATCCCCTGATTCCACAGTTCTCCATTTCTTTGTTTCATCTAAAAATGTAACTGCTCAGCTCATTAATGTAAACAAGGTTCAAGTACCTGACTATTTCGACGTAGCTTCCTCAGTGACTATCTTTTGTGTCCTTCCCTTTAGCCAGTTACTAATTCACAATCCTTCATACCTTGTGACTGATTTCTAAATCTTCCATTTCTCTCACAAATCTATGTATTTGCTATGGTCTTTTGGAAGTCTAGTTACAGTACTTCAAAACACCATGTGGAGCTTGCAGCTTTGTATCACTCACTGTTGCAACACTGGTTGTGCAAAAATTAATGTGGAAACTCAGTAGATGACCACTGCCCATTGGCATTACATTGGTGAATACTGGCGGAATAAGAATTCTGCTGTACAATAGGTGGACTCCATGCAACATATAAACAAAACAGGATTGAAGGGGGCTAATTTCTGTAAATGTGCAAAACATCAGTTTAACACGTTTACAGAAATGCTTTTGGCACCAGAGTGGGAAGCCGATCCTTAATCTGTTGTTTGATGCATTTGTAGATAAATTTGCTGCACTATGTACATTTTCAGCACAGGAGGAGGCCATTCGGCCCATGGTGTTTGTGGCACTTTTACTTCTGGTTTGCAAATATGTTCTTTCTCCATTCTCTCTCCAGTGATGAACGACATCATCAGCACCACGTTTAATAAGAAATTCATGGAAGAGCTGTTCAAATCTCAGGAACTCTACTCCAAGAAAGCTCTGAGAACAGTGTTTGATCGCCTGGCCCACGCATCCATCATGCGACTAAACCAGGCCAGCATGGACAAGGTAAGGTGATAGCAAACCAGCTGTTGGCAATTATATGATTAACTCTTCAAGGAATACAGGAGCATTTCAGCTAAAGAAAAAGAGTGACAACTGTTGCTCTTAACAGACAGAGGACATTGTATAGAGTAATTTGTGAAAATGGCCTGTGGTCACTGTATTATTGCAGACCAACAGCCCAGGTTTCTGGCCAACCCCACAGCCCGAAGCCCACCCAGTCCCCCCCACACCCCGTTTCCCCCGCCCCACCTGAAGCCCAACCAAAGCCCAGACTGGGACTCAGATTAGAATTGTTATGGTACTCTTACATTACTTTACCACACTGACACTACACAAACAGAATGAAAAGTGCAGGAATTTTCCCGCTCTACACTGATCTGAAACCTTCTTGTATTCAGAATAGTGTCCATTTACAGCAGTTAAGTCTTGGTGTTGAATGGAGACTTGTGCGTGGACACTCGTGTGTGATGTGGTGTAAAGGGTGCATGTGCTGCACGTGTGATATTATTGCCCTGTTTGTGCTTAAACGACTTGTATCCCACGTGTTATTAACAATAATAATAATCCTTGCATCTCAAAGTGCTTCACAGTGTATACTGTCAAGTTAATTGACTATATATTTTTCTGGACAAAAGGCGGCAGCCACAAAAAATAAAAAAATTAAATTAAAAAAGCCACAAAAGCTTGGAGACTGGCAGCGGCTGGGACCCGTCTTTAAGATCAGGAATGACATAGTGAGCACTGACCTTCTGAAATCTTGAATTGGCTGTGGGTGCTGGGAACGCAGGACTAAAGTGACTCCTGTGATGCGACTGTGCTGCGGGATGGCTAGCATAACAGCAACATAATCTGAAACCCTTTGTTAACTCATTCCTGAATGAATGGATTTATTTAAATGCAATGCTTTTATCCACCAGCTCTACGACCTAATGACCATGGCATTCAAATACCAAGTGCTGCTGTGCCCTCGGCCGAAAGACATCTTGTTAGTGACTTTCAATCATATGGACGCAATCAAGGAATTTGTTCATGACTCTCCAAGTATTCTCAATCAGGTGGAGGAGACCTTTCGACAACTCGTCGAGGTATTGTTCTGCTGGGAGGTATGGCTCTGGTGGGACAAGAGGTGGGGAAGCTCTGGTGGGGAGGCTTGCTCACCAGAACATCAGTCTAAATAATGCAAAAGTTTGGATCAATATGCAATGCTGCCTACATTGTGGCTGGAAATAATTGATTAGGTCCTGAATGAGTGTAAAACCTCAAAGATTTTAATTCGGATAATAATAATCCCTACATTTGATAAAACGCCTTTCACATCGGGAGAATGTCTCAAAGCGCTTCTCAGGATATACTGTGAAGTGTTTTATGTGTAGAACATGGTAGCCACTTTGCACACAGCAATGTCCCACAAACAGCCATGAAGTGAGTGACCAATGCTTTTTAGGGGAGTATTTCCCTTTTCGAAGGGAACCAGCAGACAGGGCCTTAGTTTAACATCTCATCTAAGGATAGCACCTCTAACAAGGTTCCAGCAATGCATTGGTGTGTCAGTTTTGACTCTAAAAGTTCAAAGTCCTGATGTGGGGCTTGACACAGATGCAGGAGTACTACTAACTGAGCCAGGGCTGGCATTCCTGGAGTGGGAAATGTTTTCAGGGAGGCAAGTTGGTAATTTTGATGAAGTTACGTCAGGGGAGATGGTGCTTTGTGCTTCTCTTCAAATTATTAGTAATGACAGAATGCAATTTCCAATAGAAAGCTTTATGTTATAAGATGTGAGAGAATTGCTAACTTGAAAGAAACAAAAAGTGGACATTCTGCTTGTGTTTTTGGACGTGGATAGTGTCAGCCTCCTTGGCTGGCTGGGCCGCTCATATCAGTACAGAGGAACAATGTGTGTATGTTTGCCTGGGTTTATTGTTAATGAAAGGTTTTCTGTGTCTCTGTTTAAGAGCTACAGCAGCCTACCTGCAGGGGAGTTCCAGCTCATCAGGCAGACACTGCTAATCTTCTTTCAGGACATGCACATCCGGGTAAGTGTACCTTGACCCCACTCCATGGCTAGTGAGGTGCACTGTGCAGATAGTCCTCTCCTGAAGGCACTGGCTCATATTATGATACAATTCCAAAGGCACTCCTAGCCCTCCTCCTTATCCAGTGGCCATTCTTCATCGAAGAGCATTGAGAGTGAACTCTGGCAGTCTGTAGACAGTGAGCAGGTCAATCTGGTCTTGTGCCCAGGACAAGCGCTCTTGGACGCTACCCAGGGTGAAGGGTGCTATACCAATGCAACTTGTCGTTGTTCTTCGTCTAACACCTCCTCCAGCATCCTTTTTATATTACCCCCAATTTTCTCCAGCATCGGGACATTTGGGAATGGCACAAGGTGGGTAATTGAAGTTGAGATGCAGATCAGCCATGATCCAGAACAGACTCGGGCTGAATGGCCTACTCCTGTTCCTATGTTTTTGTGACATAAATTGGAACATCCTTTTTGAGAACAGCTAACCTGGAGTAGACTTGGGAATTAAACAGACTTCCTTATCCGAACCTGGCTTTTTTTAAGTCAGCTTGTGGGAAGCTGGACATTTCTGGGATATGTCTGGGTGGATCAGCATTCGTATGAACTCCATATATGTGCACCTCAGACAATTTTAATCCTCCATAGAAACATTCAAACATATTTTTCTTACAAAATGTATTTTTGCCATATTCTTCCACTCATAAATCAAAGAATTTTACAGCATGGAAGGAGGCCATTCTGCCTATCGTGCCATTGCCGGCTCTTTGAAAGAGCTACCAACTAGTCCCCATAGTCCTGCAAATTTTTCATTTTGAAAGTTGTTATTGAATCTGCTTCCACCACCCTTTTAGGTGGAACACTCCAGACCATAACAATTCTCTGGGTAAAATAATTTCTCCTTGTCTCCCCTCTGGTTCTTTTGCCAATTATCTTAAATCTATTAGAATATTTATAAGAATCTTATTTATTATCTAATCCATATTATTAGGTTTAAGAGAACTTTGGCTGCCAATATTGAATGCTGACTACATTACAGACCTACCCTAATAATTATTTCCCTCCAGTCAGCTGTACTGATGGTCAGCAGATGTGGTTGTGTCACGATAATGGATAAAGTGTGACATGTTACAATTAATCCCCTAGGTTTCCATCTTTTTGAAGGATAAAGTTCAGAACTCTAATGGGCGTTTTGTGCTGCCAGTCTTCGGTCCTGTTCCTTGGGGAACTGAAGTTCCTGGACTGATCAGGCAAGTTAACATGTTTATAATAATAATAATCCTTGCATTTGATATAGCGCTTTTCACGTCGGGAGGACGTCCCAAAGCGCTTCACAGAATAATAATAATAATCTTTGCATTTGATATAGCGCTTTTCACGTCGGGAGGATGTCCCAAAGCGCTTCACAGAACACACTGTAAAGTGAATTGACTGTATATTTGTGGGCAAACGCGGCAGCCAATTGCGCACAGCAATGTCCCACAAACAGTCGTAGATTGAAAATGACCAATTTATTATTGATTGTTTTGGAGGGATTATTATTAGGCTCTGTGTGGAGTAAGGAAACTTGCCCGAGGTTTCGCCCTCTGCCTGGAATTGAACTCAGGTCTCTCGTTTGCAAAGCGAGTGCTCTAACCACTGAGCTACAGGACTCCACATATCAGTCATCATAAGCCTCCTGGCATAGATACTGAAGCACATAAGAATTTGTTGGCGAAAGAAGCCTAAGTTCACCTTTCACCATCCTGGCAGTCGCTTGACATGTCGTGTCTCAAACTAAATACTGTATCCCGAGATATTATTTTCTGGCAGAAATTTATCTAATTTGTTCTTGAAACAAACAACATTTCTGCTTGTCTCCCTCTTCACTTCCACTCATACTGTCCTGTACCGTACCAGCACCTGAACTCTTTCTAGTATTTCTTTCCCCCACCACCCTCTCCAAATTCACTCACTTTGGGTTTGTAGATATTGTTTACTGATCTGTTTTCTGATTTTTCAATCCTGGTTGAAATGTCTCTCAGCTAGGAGTCCAATTCCTTCAAATTCCTTTGGTGTGCTAATGAGCATCCTGTCATAGCTGCTGAGAACTCACAGCGGTGTCTGAATCGTCGGAATAAGAATAAAGAATATTTTTCTCTTTTGCAGAATGTTTAACTTCAACGGAGAAGAAGCGAAACAAAGCGAGTTCCCAACCACGAACGGCTACACCTGTGCCCTGAGAGAAGGCTCCTTTGATCTTTTTGGTGACAGAGTCATTAAGCTCGGTACCAATATGTAAGTTATTATTTTCACTCGGCTGGGATTACCGAGACGGCACCCCCACCCCCCCACACCCCTCAGGAACTAAAGGAGGGAGAAGATCTGATGGTACCTCCCACAACTCCTGCTATTACTGTTGCGGCTGAAGTTATTTCTGCTGCATACACACCGTACAATGTACAGACCACAAAGTTTATTGCATCATATTTGTTAGCGCTTCCCACACATTCTGGAAAGCAAAACGAGCAATAAAATGCTTGCTTTTTACAGTCAGTTGCTGTTTGTGTGATACTTCAGCGATTAACAAAAGCTAAGCGCTGAAGTCCAAACCCCTGACTGTCCAGTGCCTTGGGATGCCCTCCCGACGTGAAAAGCGTGTGTGAGTATTATTTGTTGTTGTTGTGCTACACGCTCAGCATACAAAGTAACTGCTGTGGCAGTTGAAAGAACGACACAGACTGTTATAGTGGTGTTGCTTTTACACACTGTCTTTTTTTGACGTTGTTGTATTCACTTGCTGTTTGCAGGTACAGTGTTTCCCGACCCGTGGAGACGCATATGTCTGGTGCATCGAAGAGCTCATCCGTGCATGCAAAGGTCAGCCCAGTTCTGTCCCATCCCATTCATTCCCTCTCCCATTTGGCTCTGCTCGACCACACACACACGCACACATTTTCCAACAGGGAGTTTCTGGATAGAGGTTAAGATCGGGAACCACTCCCCTGCCAGATGACAAGTGTAGCCCCACTTGATACACTGGTTGAGATCAGTGATAGCACAGACTGGGCATCAAACCTGCAGCCTGCAATATATAATGTAATGTGCATAAGTGCTCTGAGATGCCACCCTGGATGAAAAGCCTATATAAATCCGAGTTGTCATTTGGTGCATTGTACTAATATAGAACCATGGGTAAAGAAATCCTATTCATGATAGAAATTTACAGCAGAAAAGAAGGCCATCGTGTCAAGTGTGTCTTGGCAGGAAAATAATTTAACTCTAACCTACACACAACAACTTGCATCTAGATAGCGTCCTTCACATGGGGTAGCTTCTCGGATCGCTTGACCTCATAGCTGGGAAACAGACACAACCTTTTCCACCAATGGCAACAGTATCCACAGCACTGCTGATGAAGCAAGTCATCTTTGAGATTAACAGAAATCAAACTGTCTCCACTAATGGTCTATTAAGTAAAGGTACAGCCCGGTAAACAATTGCACACAGCAATGTCCCACAAATAGCCTTGAAACAAGTCACCAGTTTTATTCCGCGTACACTGAGAGCTGTATTGTAATGAAAGATTTCCATCAACTTCAACAGCAACAACAAAATTACATTAATAGCGCCTTTCACGTCAGGAGGACGTCCCAAAGCGCTGGACAGACAGAGTTACGGACCCGAGCTGAGGGTCGGGGTGGGGAGAGGTGGAGGGCAGTGGGGGAAGCAGGGAGATCGAAAGCACGGTCAAAGAGGAGAGTCTTGAGGTGGGTCTTGAAGGTGGCGAGGGAGGGGGCGAGACGGAGAGTCTGCGAGATGGAGTTCCAGAGGGTGGGTGCAGAGTGGCAGAAGGCCCGCCCGCCGATAGTGGAGTGAGCAAGACGGGGGACGTGAAGCAGGCCGGAGCCCATTGAGCGGAGGGAGCGAACAAGGTGTAAAGGGGTTAGGAGATCGGAGAGCTGGGGGTAGCAAGACCGTGGAGGGCATTGAAGGTGAGGACCAATAGAAGTTTGCACATTACTCAGTGATTTGTGCTGAGTTACTGATCTTAAACTGGGTCTGCCTGCACGTTGTTATGAAGGAATCTTCTGGGCAACCATTGTTATTATCAGATGAGGCGTTAAACCGAGGTCCCATCTACTTGGTCAAGTGGTTGTTAAAGATCCCAATTCGAAAAGAGAAGTGAGTTTCTCTCTCCTAGTGTCCTGGCCAACAATCCCCCAAATAAAACGGTCACTCACTCCATGGCTGTTTGTGGGACATTGCTGGGGCAACTGGCTGTCATGTTTCGCCCTCAACATATAGTCACTCCAGTTTACACAATATCCTGTGAAGCACTTTGAGACATGATAAGGTGCTATATCAAATGCAAGGACGATTATTATTTTTCATATTGTGTGGTGAATACTGATGCCTTTTAATGTTGCCCTGCTTTATATGGTGCCTGTTCTTTCCTATTTCATTCTGCGCCGCAGGAGAATACAGCACCCAACCCCCTGGCCAAGGAAGAGTTGAACCTGTTGGCACGGCTGATGGGAGGCCTGGAGGGGAAGCAGACTGTAGCCATGGAGCCAGGATTCCGCTTAAACCTTTTCAGCACAGACGAGGAGGAAAAGTAAGTCACTTTTCTATCTGTTTCCTGCATTGTATCCACTTTCCTGCTCCTTTTCCCCCCCAATCCCCTGTGTATACCTCCTCTCCTCAAAGACAGTAACGAGCGAACCGAAATTCCATTTAAGATCCTGCAGAATTGAGGAAAATTGTTAAATTCAGTCTTAATTTGGAAGCCGTTTCTCTTTTTTCTTCAAGTTTAAGGGCTGAATGGTCTCCTCCTGTTCCTATGTTCCTGTGTTCCTAAGTCAACGAAGGCCAGAGTAGTCCTTCCCTTCAGCCACTTCCCCTGTTTATTAAACTGATCAAGAGGAAAAGAATAAGCAGGAGGAAACTTTCTGGCTTAAGACAATTAAAACTAAGGCTGTGTGTAGCCCAGTAATCAGTTTTCTTTTAAACTATTTCTCCTTTTTATCTTCTGAGCAGACAAGCAGGAACCTTGAGACCTCTCGAACTTTCTTATAAAGTTGTCAACATACAAGCCACTCAGGTAGGTAGAATGTTGGTAAGTTGGTTGCAAACATTGCTGTGTATATTTCGAATTATACCATGATTTAATTCGGAGATGGTTTCTCACTCACACTTTCCTCTCATGCACACAAGGTTGCTTCCATTCTTTCTCTCTGCATCATTCCCATTGTTTTTCCGTCCACCCCACAAGTTTATTTTTCTTTAAACCCCTGAACGTGGAGTAAATAAGCTGCACCAGAGCAAATGAGAGAACTATCACATGGAATCCACGGGATGAAACGATGGAGTGAAAATATAATATTTGCAGATCAGATTTATTGCATTAATTGTGAATTTCAATTTGCTGATATTGAAGACAATGCAATTGGCATTTATATAGCACCTTTCACTTAACAGTGCTCACTGAGCACTCAAGTCTGGGGTGGGAATCGAAGGGGTGGGGAGGGAACAGATGGCCAAAAGCACAGTCAAAGAGGTAGGTCTTGAGACAAGCGTTTGAATGAAGGGAAGAAAAGAATGAGTCGGCGGATTTGTCCTCCAGAGACAAGAATGGGGTAAGCAGGGTGCATCCATCTAGCGAGAGAATGTACATTCCATTCCAGAAGCAAGGATATTTTAATGTGTAGATGACATACCTATGTGGTTTAACTGCTTTGAATACACTTAAGTGCGAAAATGGGTTTCTGCATGTGTCACACATCTGACTAACCACATAATATCTTCTTATAATATTCCCACTGAACTCAATCCTGCCTCTCATACTGCTGTCTTGGATGAGATCACTCACGCAAAGTAGAACATGTCAGCTTTGTGATCTGTAGGTTACACCATCCACTTAGTTGGTTGACAGCCGAGGGACGTTTCCTGTGTTGTGGAGTCCTGTAGCTCAGTGGTTAGAGGACTCGCTTTGCAAGTGAGAGACCTGAGTTCAATTCCAGGCAGAGGGCGAAACCTTGGGCCAAGTTTCCTTACTCCACACAGAGCCTAATAATAATCCCTCCAAAAACCCAAACAATAATAAATTGGTCATTTTCAATCTACGACTGTTTGTGGGACATTGCTGTGCGCAATTGGCTGCCGCGTTCGCCCACAAATATACAGTCAATTCACTTTACAGTGTGTTCTGTGAAGCGCTTTGGGACGTCCTCCCGACGTGAAAAGCGCTATATCAAATGCAAATGCAAGGATATCAAATGCAAGGATTAAGCTATAGCTTTGTGCCTTGTGCTTCTCACAGGACCAGCAACAGCACGGAGAACTGGCTCGGATTATGGGAGAGTTTCACGTCCAGGAGGAGCCTCAATCAAGTGCCAATAAAGGAGATGAGCTGCTGGCTCTGATGGATGACCTTTGACTTCCTGATGCCTGGGGATTTTGTGTTTTACACACAAGTGACTTTTGCCAACGGATCGCAATCTCACCATCCGAGTGAACTAACTCTGCTGCTCCTCTCTGAGAGCATGGTATTGGCTCCTCTTTCTGTGGGCCTCTATACACAATGCCAACCAAAAATATGATCCTTTCAAATAGTACCTGTAGCCATTACACCAGACACTGGTCTTATTCGCTTGCCAAGCAGATAATAATGAGATCACAGTGTAGGGAAGGGACCAGATTCATTCAGTGTTCGTCAGTGAGAGGGCATGTTTGCATAGGATCCCAAAGTTTTATTTTAACATTATATTTATTTTGATGGAAAACTGAAAATCTGGAGATTTACTGGTGAAGCTGGGCCTTGAATAAGCTGGGTGGCCATCAAAGTGACAGGCAGGAGTGTAGAAGAGATCAGTGGGACTGACTGGCAGGCAGGCAGGAGTGTAGAAGAGATCAGTGGTTACACATCTGTATCTATCCAAATAGCCGTCCAGCAGTAGAGAGCTTCTTCACTCACAGTTATGCTCTTGTAGAGTAAAATATTCTATGTAGCTTGCTGCTCGCAGGTACTGTGCATTGCTGAATACTATACCACTGCCAGAGCTACTGTTTACACGAGAAGGCCAATTGATGAAAGAAGAGTATGTTCCTCTTTGGCAAAGCAACTCTGAGCCCAAGCAGCTCGGAGTATAAATAAACCTGGTTTCACTGTTCCACACTACACTTGGTTGTTCACAATCCAAACACAAAGTCTCACAACATAAAATCCTGATCCATCATGTAGCAAATGTGTGAGGAACTGCTCTTGTCTCGAGTGTAAAATCGTAGTTTGTAGTGTGTTTTCTCCTGACATTGTGTGCTTTATGCTGATCTCACAGCTGTGTCACTGTCTAAAAGCAAATAGCATCCAGTCCTGATTCTCTTACACAAACCTAATCTGGATGGAGTCTGAGTTTGGAAATAATAGAAAACATACTCCTAGCTTTTAAACAGCTGACCAGAAAACTATCAAATTTGTGTGAAAAAAATGCTTGTGACTTGGTCCCATCTGTACAGTATTTATAAATGTATGTACTGTTTCATGTAAAGAAGAAATGGCGATTACATAATGATTGTAGGCTGGGTGAGTAATACTGAGGGATCTCTGTGTATAGACACCTTTATCTACTGCAATTCAGTCAATCGGATCTTCCCTTCACAAATCCATGCTGGGTATCTCTTACCAATTCCATCTTCCCTAAATATTTCACAAGGACATTGATATAACCTCAGGCAGTTTCCTAACAACTGAAGTGAGACTCACCAGGCTATTATTTTCTGCCTCTTTTCCTTTTCTTTGACAATGGAGTGACATTTCTCACTCAACCGGCCCAATGCTTGTTCTGGGCCCACACCCTCCTGGTGTAATTGCTGAATCCTGCAGGAGACAGTTCATGTTTTGCTGCCACTTTTCAAATTAAACATAGACTAGATATGTGCAACAAAAACAGAAGTCACTGGGAACACTCAGCAGGTCAGGCAGCATCTATGGATCTTTCTCTACAGATGCTGCCTGACCTGCTGCGTGTTCCCAGTGACTTCTGTTTTTGTTTCAGATTTCCAGCATCTGCAGTATTTTGCATTTTGTATAGACTAGAAATGGCGTTGTTTGCAGTACTAATGACTAACGTTAGTTACACTGTGTTGGCCATCGCTGCTAACAATTCTATAAAATGGATTAGATAGCATCACAACAATTTTTTTTGTGTTCCCTTTTTTAAAAAAATCTGCAGAGTTTATTGCAAATACTTATTGTAATATTAAAGTCTTATGTTTTGTGTCAATTCTATTTGAATGTTTGGATTCCCGTTGTAGTTAGGAATGCCCAATAAAGCACCTACAGTGAAAGAGCCTGCTCAGTGTGATTTGTTTGTTCCTCCCCTCGATCAGTGCAGTGGTTTATTGTGCAATATGGTGGGCAGCCTATGGTCAAAAGGATGTTGAAGATTTGCATAGAATTTGGAAAGGAGCCACTAGGATGATAGCATGGTACTTGAACCCACCTTCCGACTGAATGGGGAGTGTTACCAACTGAGCCAAGTTAAAGCATTTTTGGTGTGGAATTAGTGTCGCTGGAACAATTTTTATTAGTGTGTTGCTGAAACCCCCTCTCCCCAGGCTGTCACCCTCCCTGTCCCTGTTACCGCCATCCATAGGTCAGAAGCTGGTGAAGTGAAACAATCAAACACCAGCTTCTAACCAGTGGTGGAGGTAATAGGGCACAGAGAGGGCGACAGTGTATATAGTCTATGGTGACAGTGAGGAAGTGGGCAGGAGATATGATGGGTGGTGATGTGTGGATGGAGGGGTGATATCTGGGGTTATGTAAAGATTTGAGAAGAGATAAGTTATTGCTGGGGGAGGGGCTGGGCTGTTCCCTCCCTTCTCCTCACTGCTGTCCAGCTGGTTGGGCCTTCAGTCTTTCTGCGCCCACCCTCTGGATCTCCCTCTGCCTTGCCTCCCTCAAGGACCATCTCTAGATCTTCCTTTTCGACCGGCCTTCAGTCATCTTCCCTCCTCCACCCCCTTGCCCTCTGCCCCTCTCTGATCCCAACCCGCAGCTCGAGTGCAAACCCCTCATTGTCCAGCACCTTGGGACGTGCTCCTGACATCAAGGATACTATATAAATGCAATTTGTTGTTGTTGCTATCACCCCCTTCCCCCTACCCCCAGCACCCTTCGTTCCTGTGTGTCTGTGTGGAATGAAAACTGCTACCTGAGTCTTGTGCCTACAGCCACCAACCCGGGGGCGCAGTTTACAACTTGCTCAGCTCCTTGGGGCATTGCATTTATTTTAAGACTTGGCTACTTATATTTCAGAAGAGTAGTAAAAAGTAAAAAGAGTGTTGTTAGGGCAGTGAGACTATCTGTTCTGTGTCGCCTGTTAATACCTTGCAGCCAGAACACAGCCATCTCTCCTGGTTTAGCCCAGATCTGGAGTTGGGAACCTGAGAACAGAGGAACTGAAATCACATATATAAAAGTAACTTATTTACTGCTGAACTGCAATTTTCACTGTAAATCTAACTCATTACACAAAGTTTCAAATGCATTGTAAGTCCAACTTAGGTTAACATAAGCTCACGTAGGGCTTTGCTCAAGTCAGACTGTCTTTAAAGTCCTGTTTAGTTCATAAAGAAACTTCTAGTCCCGACCCAGAAGCTTGAGAGGGCTTTTGTCGTGTGTAGAATCTCTTGCAGTTTGAGATCGTTGCAAGCACATTGATCCTTTCAGTTTGTAACAGGACATTCTCCCAACGTGAAAGGCGTTATACAAGTATCATTTGTTGTTGTTGTTGGATTCCTCCTCCTCTTCCTCTTTGGTCTCTTGAGCTGAACCTCGCAATGGGGAAGTTGGGTTTCCAGATGTGAGTGATGGGAAAGCAAGCTGCTCAACAGAGCTCAGTCCTGTCCCTTGGATGTTTGTGCCAACCAAGCTGTACGTCAGCAACTTATGTCTGGCTCTTGGGTTTGGTTCAGGGCAGATTATTGATCATCTTCTCAGCCCACAGTTAGGGATCAATTCAGTCAGTTTTTATGACCATCTGTCTTCCAGTACAGATGCATTTTTCCACATTCTCCCAACCTTGGCTGACTTGAGCCCACAGTATTTTCTTATCACATTCCTCAGACCAATCTTGATTCCCACAGACACATTCATTTCTTCTTTCTTACCAAACTTAACTCTTTATAGCACAATACTCAGCACGCTGGCATTTTCTCATATCTTTGTTACAATTTCATCCTGTGTTATACCAGCTATCTATCCCATGACATCAGTTACAAATGTAATTTTGTTGTTGTTACGCTTATTACATCTACAATTCACTACATGGATGACATTTTATTTCACCGCAGTCTATTGCTTATCACATCAAGTATACAAGCACTAAAAGCATTCTCTATAATTAGTCTAAGCCTCTAAAATAACAATAATCAGTTTACGTTTACAAGCAGGATATAAGGTTATATAGTTTACTGTAATAAGCATGTTATAATGTAAGCATTTTATAATGGGATTACATTTATCACATTATTATGCATTCAAGCGCTTCGAGACGCTGCCCCAAGTAAAGGGCCCTATATAAATGCATGTTTAAATAATCCAACAATCCCCCACTAGAAATCGGGAATTTTATTAACGTTCCCAGATTCACTGGTTGAGTTTACTGATTCTCCTGTTTAGCCGGGGCCAGAGCAAGACCATAGATACGAAGGGTCCTGGACACAAGTGTCCTGAGTAAGTCTCCATCGTCATAACAGTGACAACAACCACGGCTATCATTATTATCACCAATTTACACCGCCAATGGGTGGGCGGTCTGCCATACCGGGAGCCCTCATACAGATGCGTGAGGTCACTTATAATGAGGAGCTCATATGGGGCTTGTGTATCCTTATCCATATCATTAATAAGGTGTGAATGAATCTTTCTGGTCAAGTATTTAGTACACATTTCCCGTGAGCTCAGGGATCTGAACATTAACAGTTGGTAGTTCAACAATCAACTCAATCAGATCCAAATGGAGGGTAGACAGTGTTTCTCCACTGATGATGATTGTGTCTTTGTGGTTGATAATTCGGGGTGGCTACTGTACAATACTGTGTGCCATACTCAACCATGTGGCGGTAGTCGCCATGACCCAGGTGTGGTTACACATTGTGGCCACCCTGGTCTGTGAGGCAGGCCATTCAATGAGTTGGACAGGACACAGTGTCATTAGCCCACCGTCCTTGGTCAATGCCACAAATAATGAATGAGCTCATGTCCATGTGCCTCACACCAACCGATATCAGGCTTATTCCATAAACCTGACCACTTATGCTGAATCGGCAATGGAGGGTTTAACAACTGTTTGTGAGTCCTGAGCTCTGCCATTCCCCCGGCGTAGTCTCAAATACCTCATCATAACATCCTCTGCTCAGAATAAAGCCACAATAAATTGGAGCTGGAAAAACTTGGGGGACCAAACACCATGTGGGAATAAGGCCATGTTTACTTTACTAAGATTCAGGGACATAATTGAGTAAAAGTACCTGACGGAGGCTCTGATCACCTATCTGGCAGGTTCCCTTTGCATTGGCCAGGGTTACAGGAGACAGTAAACCCAACCTGTGAATTGGGGTACTTGTGGGGCGGAAGAGTCAGAATTGTTGCCTTTAAACAGTTTCATTTGATTCATGGGCACCCATTTGTCAGTTGTCCCTTTCTTAATAATCACCAGGACAGTTATAATAGCAAGCTTGAGTGTGTCAATGCCGACCTACAGCCCTTGGCATCTAGAGCAGAAGCAATGAGAGGGGGTTTCCAAAAAATTACAACATGACTTTATCATATCGGCACCATATATATGTGCAGCTAGTTTCGTTTCTTGGTGAGTTTGGGTTGGAATAGCCGCCCCGCTCAAATTTTGGGTCATGAACAAATTTATTGTCTGAATCTTGTTTTCCAATTGCTTTACATGTTCGGTGTGGTCTGGCTACATGTCATGGACCGTAAACAAAATCAAATTTCTCACAGAATAAGGGATTTGGAGTCCTGTAGCTCAGTGGTTAGAGCACTCGCTTTGCAAGTGAGAGACCTGAGTTCAATTCCAGGCAGAGGGCGAAACCTTGGGCAAGTTTCCTTACTCCACACAGAGCCTAATAATAGTCCCTCCAAAACCAAAAACAATAATAAATTGGTCATTTTCAATCTACGACTGTTTGTGGGACATTGCTGTGCGCAATTGGCTGCTGCGTTCGCCCACAATTATACAGTCAATTCACTTTACAGTGTGTTCTGTGAAGCGCTTTGGGACGTCCTCCCGACGTGAAAAGCGCTATATCAAATGCAAGGATTATTATTATTATTAGTATTATTATTATCTACCTCGAAGTATTATCCTTGGGCTGAAAAACAAAAACTCCATTAACTATAGAGCAAAACTCTGCATGTTTCTCTTGAACTGGGTTAATGGTATTGGGGAGTAGGTGATGGATCAAAACCTTCGATCCAGACTACAATGGAAGGCACGTAACCACAATCAGATTTGAAGTGGCGAAGAGTGGCTCAGACTTGTTGAGGAGCCATGTAACAGATTGATTTCTCTTATCATGACAGTTTAGTAGGGAGTGAAGCGTTTCAGAAAAGGGTCGGTTAGTTAATAACGATACCAATTCCCTCCCGGGTTGTTCCAACCTCCACCAGACCAACCACCAAAACCCCCTCTTCGCTTTCTTCTCCTTCGACCCCGGGGTTTCCTCTCAAACTGTATTGGTGCTTCACTGGACTCCAAACCTGGACTCTCTGC